AAAATAAATTAAAAATTCTGTTTTTTTTTCTGAATTTTATGAGTTACATTTGATTTGTCTTTTTTTACTTGTGTCTCATTTAAATATTTGGTTTACAAATAAAAAAATATATTTTTCCAAAGTCGTTTAAGTAACCCTGGCAGTAAATTTAATTTTCATTTTATTTTTTTTACATAATAAAAATTTTATAACTCGTTTATTACTTTTGTAGTAAATTTCACGCTTTTTTCTTCAAACCATCTATTTAAATGATATCATAGGTCAAAGTTTAAAATATATAAAAAATAAAAGTATCATTATTTAGGCAGATTTAAATGCCATCGAAATTTTTTTAAATTGTTTTAAGACTAATAAAACCACCTTTAAATTTTGACATCCGATTTATCATTTAAAAATTTTTTTTACGAAAAAAAAACATATTATTTAAAAAAAAACCTTTTTTGTCGAGCTTAAAATTTCGGCGGGGAAAATTCGTCTTAATTTATTATGCTCAAAATAAAATCTGAACAAAAATGCATATTTCAGCATCGTTACTGAAGATTCAGCCAACAGTTAAAAAAATCATCAAAATAAGCGGTTCGAGAGGAAATCATACGAACACTTTATCCAAGGAGTTTGCCTTAAAACAGAGATACTAACGTAAAGAAAAAACAAAATGTTCACATTACATAGGATGATTATAATTGACATTCACTGTTATTGCTGATGCCCCCCTCAGGGTGCTTGCACCCTGTATAGGTTAAAATATAAATCTAAATAAAATTGTTTACCATAGCATCATAACTGTCAACCTCCAATTAAAGAAAAAAAAATTACCAAAATCAAATGAGCGGTTCGCGAGAAAATCCACATTATAAATTCACTGCCTAACAACGGGAATAATAAACTCATTATTCACGTTGTTAGGCATAAGTGATTGGTCGATTTCAATATTCACTGTTATATGAACCAATAGGGTTTTAAATTGGGAGAAGGCGACTAAAATAACATTTAAAATTGGTAAAAAGAGATTAACCGTTTGACAGATGACATTTTATTTATTTATTTTTGAAAATCATTTAATTATCTACTTATGGGAGTAGATGATAGTATTTACACTCGATGTGCATTATTTACTTTTATAATGATATACCTATTAATTGACGTAATTATTAAATATTAATTATTTAACTTTAATTTAATATAATTTTAGATTTAAAATGGTGTTATAATCTAGAGAAAAAAATCTCGAAATTGATCGATCCCGAATGGCAATGTCAAACGATTTGCGTAGGAAATGGTGGAAAAGCAAAATTTCTACCCGAATATAAAATATGCAAGTGTTGGATTGACAAATATATTGGCGGTAAGCATTTTACATTACAAAATATGGGGACATTGACGTTTATATGCAACGAATAGGTATTTGAACTATAGGTATTCAATTTTTTTGTACATAATAATTTCTGTAGGTTAACGCGCTAAAACGCAATAACGTTTTGCCAATTTGCTTTCTGCTCGTTCAAAATACAGATTTTTATCCAAAAATAATTACATATTTCAAGGATATTTTTACACAAAAAATGTATTTTTGTAAAAAATAATTGGCTAAAAAAACGCTTTTTCTAATTATTTAAATTATTGCATAACTATTATCGAATTGTGTTTAAATTAAAACATTAAAGTAGTCAATGACGAACAATAATTTGAACTCAAAAAAGCTTTAAGAAACCTATGCTGCCTACAATAATAAAGGACAAAAAATCATTTTTATTGTTTTTTAAAATTTTAATATTTTCTCCTATATTGTAGTGTAATATTGTAGATATGGCGGTTTATCTTAGAAGGGCAGTATGGTTAACATTATTATTTTAATGATAATTTGACATTAAAGTTTTTATCATTTATTGGAGTGATCAAGTGTAAATTATGGATATAACATATATTACCTATCTTTTTCAAATTTTGTTATAAATTTAACTTTCCCCTTATTTTAAAACGCAGTATACCTACCTTTTTTATAATACTACTATAATTATTAATATTTTAGATGCTGACTTACAAGTTATGTTAAAAAACGCTCGTGCGATGGACTTAAAATTAATAACGGTAGAACCAATCGAAAACCGAGAGCGAAACCACGTTAAAAGAGATATTTCCAGCGATGATAAATTCAAAAAAATTAAATTAAACCTCAGAACTCTAGGCCAATTACCTAATGTTACAACATTAAATCAATTAAAAAAAAGTATTAACGTAACTTTGGGACAAAAACTGGCAAATTTAAATAAAAACTACAACAAAACGGAACCTTTAAAGCTTCCAGCACCCACCAAAGCTTTGGAAGAACGGGTAAATAAATTAAAAAGTCGATTAGCTGAAATCAAAGAAAACACAATAAGAAAAGCTAGTAAAATTCCAATATTAAAATCCCGGAGTATACGAAAATTGGCTCTAGCAAATGACAATACGAAAAAGGAATTTTTAACAAAAAAAAAACAATACTGGTGAGGGTGGAAATATTGAACAGAAAACAAAGTAAATAATTCAATAAAGTATTTTAAATTAGGCTGTAGTTTTAATTTAGAGTAGAAATATAATATTGTATTATATTGTTTACAACAGGCAAATAAATAAATTTTAATTTTTTTTATGCAAAAACCATTCATTGTATGAAAAAAGTTAATAGAACATTTTTACTCAGAGAGGCAAATAATACTTATTTTAGAAATGCAGATGCATATTTTTTTTCGTTAAAAAGGACGAATGAGTGCGTACGCAGAAATAGAACAAATATTTTTTGTAAAAGAATGTATTTTTATGCCTAAATGTCACATTAAAATTAAGAACAATATTTAAATTGATTTTAAAGATATTATGAAATACATTGTTATGTTTTTATAAAATAATTTATTTAAAATTATTATCTATTATTATTATTATTTTAAAATTAATTTTATTCCTCAAATATTTAAATGGTTTAAAGTTTTACATTATATTTGTTCATTGAAGACTCTAACTACAATTGAGGGGCTCGGTGCAAGAACCGGGTATCTCTATATTTTTGCTAAATTGAGTTAGGTACATAAAGATACACCCGTCAGTAGTCCGCATCGTTCGGTGCACAAACCCTGTAGATCCACGTTAGCGTTAACTAAATATATCAGATACAGAAGATACCGCAGAAATTATACTGTGCAGAATCAGGTAACTTCGGAGAAAATTCTGAATGTAGCGAATTTGAATATTACCAAATTGTAATATTTTTTGCGATTTTTTGTTAAAAATATTTTTTTGACCATAATAATAAATGTTTGTTCCAAAATTTCTTTTTTCTTGGGGGCTGTCCATAAATGATTTCAAACTTTTTTTTTAATATTTTTGACCCCCCTCCCCCTCTTGTCACAAAGTGTCATAAATTATAGTACCCCCTCCCCCACTGTCGTCACGTCACACTGATTTTATTTTTAAGTTAAGTCTATATAGACTTAACTTAAAAATAAAATCAGTGTGGATATCCTTTATTAAATACCTACTTTGAATAAAAATACAAAAAAGAAAGATTTAATTTACTCTTTGTGACGTCACTACCTGCTAAAACTCCCCCCGGCTATCACATTTCCGACGACCCCCTCCCCCCAAGTGTGAGACATAATTCTTGTACCGAGCCCCTCAATTGAAGCGTGGTATTCCCAAAGGGTCTAAGTGCCAAAACTAAAATTGTGAGTAATTAATGAAAAACAAATATTGTGCCATCTTTAAAAAAGTAAAAAAAATACTTACAAAAATAATATGGACTTGAAATATTTTTTAACTCATTCTGCATGGCACATAGACTATTTTTAAATAATAATATAATATTTGACCAACTTGGCACTTAGACCCTTTGGGAATACCATACTTCAATTGGACGCCTTTCTGCAGAAAGGAACCAACCCACAAAACCAAAAAAATCGAGATATTTAGCCTATGAACTAATTAAGTATGTATAATTTATCTGCAAAATAGGTCATAGCCAAAATGCAAGTGTAGTGAAATCTATTAATCATTGAACCAACCAACATTCAATAATAGTGTGGATTACTAATCCAGAATTAGAATCTGTAGAATATCTGCAAGTGGGTTGGATCTTTTTTGTTAAAAAGCAGGCTGGTAGACCCACTACCAAAGTCTTTAAAGATTTCCTGCTTCTGCAAAATATAAAGTCTTGATGCATTTTTTTGGTAGCTTACAAGATGAGGTTTTGTTGGAAGATGATGTGGATGTAATTCATATTACCATTATAATAGTAATATCAGTTGTATTTTGTTTGGAAATAAATAATTGTCGCTTTTCTTTAAATACATACATACATCAGATAGTAGTTTTCATAAATTGCAGAAAGGAACCAACCAACAAAAGCCCATTTTTTTCGTCAACCTTACACATAACATCACAAAATCCACCTGATGAAATTATTAAATTATATCCCTTAAACCTCCGCAAGTCCAAAATCGGCATAAAATTAACAGGTAATTTTAAAATTATTAAAATCTTTGATAGCTTTTTTCTCAGTTTCATCATGGTGTGGGTTGGTCCCATTCTGCAGAAAGCCGTCCAATTATAGTTACTATAATTGGCATGGAAAGAATGATATGTTGGGTATTATTTTTGTGTTTGTTGGTATACTTCATCCGACTTCATCTTGTATATCATAATAACCTACAATGGGGGTTAAACTGTAATATGTTTAGGTTCTTATAATATACCAGATGATGTATACCAAAAACACAAAAAATCCAAACATGCAGGGTTTAAATTAAACTGGGTTAAACAAAAATTTATAGGAACATGGATTTATTCATGTCACAAAACTCTCTTTTTGTGGGCCTGTGTTTTTTACATACTTTATTTTTTCTTGTTTATCTAGAAATTGTCAGAATATTAGTAAAAATATTTGAATCATATTACCAACTAGTGATATTAAAATTATATAAGAGGTATTTGTCAAAGGGTCATGTTTAAATTATTGTGTAAACCTTTTAAAATAAACTAAAAAACTTTATTGAATATTTAAAAACAAAATTTTACCCATTTTATATAAACCAATTTTAGTTTAAAACCATTGTTAACGTCTTCCTTTTCCTTTGCCCTTTCCCTTATTACCCGTTGATTGCTGTTGTTCACCACCACTCTTTGTCTGTCGTGTCTTCAGCTTAGGAATCATATCTCCTAAATGAAGCATAATACTCTCTCTGGTGGGAAAACTTGGATTGTATAAAGAACCATCGTCATTCTTTAATTGCACTCTTATTCTACCACGGTACAAAAGCTCCTTACTTCTTTCTCTTGAGTAAATTTTATTTTCCACTCCAACTTTCAAGTTTGCTGCCAGCAACACATCTCTTATTTCTTGATGGGTTGGGTTTTCGACGCATTTTTCTTTTGATATTCTTCTGCCTTGAGCTAAAGTTTTTTTACTGTTGATGTATGCTGGATAAATACATACCCATCTGAAAGTTAAAAATTATAAACATATGTTTGGGGTTAAATTTATCTTACAAACCTTTCGCGGTCGCTGTGTTTCTTATCAGGGCTCCATTGAAGGGGTGGAGGCATTGCAGAGTGGCCCTGCATTGAAAATATGTCTTTTTAAGTTTCTAAATACTAACAAGTTTGTAAAATTATCTATTTTGGAATACACGTCAAATGTTTTTTAGGTTAGAAAGTTAACAAACGCGCCATCTATTAGATAATGAAATGATGTGGTAAATTAAAAAGTAGAAATCTACTATTATGTTCTTGATATACAGGAGAGTCTTAAGAGAAATTATGGTTCTAAATAAAAAAAAAATGGTATAAATTTTATTTATTTTGATACAATTTTTTCATAAATAATTTATAAATAGGCAAGCTAAAATAAAACACCAATTAATTTTAAAACTTTTGAAGTAGACCCGTGTGACACGGGCCTTGTCCGTTCCTACAAGTTCCTACAGTCAATCAAACTTTATTAACATAAAAGGTTTTTATCTCCACGTGGTCTATAATTTAAACTTTATTGTTGTCAACATTCTATAAAGAAATACCTTGTTATGGCCTAGGCCGATACAAATTTTTATGAGGCAAGTAATTAGTTCGATTTTTTCTCGCTAGGGGTATTGTATTGACAAATTTATCCTTTTCTAAGAAATTAACGTACTAAACTGGTTTAATTTATTTATAATAAGCACTAATTTGTTTGTTTTACTGTTAATGTTTAATATTTTTTATTAAATTATTGTAAAATTAAATATGAATAATAAAACAAAAAATGAGGTTACGCAACCAAGAAAACGCACGATTCTTTTTCTACGATTTAAATTATCTTTAAGTTTTAATTTGCTTTAAGTTTTCAGTGAAATTAAATGTTAAACACAGCTTAAACATTCCAAACTACCTATTTTTTAAATAAAAATCCAAACATTAGAAATTAGATACCTACCTATTTATTAAACAATTAATTGAATTCAATGTCATAAAACCATTTCTACTTAAATCATGTTGCTAGGTATTGTCAAACTATTACTGCTTCTAAAACCAATAATAATTATTGTACATTTAATGTAATCTTTAGCTAATAAATAAATGAGATTCTTAAAAAGTAAGGTTAGGTTGCTTTGATTTTGAATTAAATTAACCTGCTTTAAAGATAAAATGTTGTATGCCATTCGGCCAAGAAGGGCCTTTTTGTGCTTTGCTCAATTGTAGGCCTCCGCTACGCGTCGGCCTTCAAACCTTGAGCTTAGCACAAAAAGCCTTACTTCTTAACTTTATGACATAAATAACTATTATGTTCAATCACAATCACAATGTGTGGATTGTGGTTCAAATCAAAAATACAGTGTTCTTGTTTAATAGATTAGACTGCCAGATTTGTTGTGCCTAGAGGATTGGTACAGTGGCGAACACGGAATTTTTAACATACTAACTGGCATTTAAATGCCAGTTAGTATTTTTTCTACTCCTTTACGGAATTTGACCGTTCTATAGTATCACTTTTATCTATGGAACGACATATATTCCGTAGTGTACACTACGTTACGTTACAAAATGAAATATTCTCATCATCGGATGACAGAATAAACACTCGTGGCGACATCTCTGTTTTTAATATCTAACAAATTTTAGACTGATCCAACCTCACTTTCTTCCAATTAAATTATTTTTCTATGGTATTTTTTGGAAACGTAGAAAAAGTATAGTCTGAAATACGTTTGAAATTGCATATTCCGCTCTCATGAAACCGACAAACTCGCCTTCTGCTCGTGTGACAAACTCTTCACTCGGGCGGAATATGCTGTATTCCAAACTTGTTACAGAATATACTATTTTCTACTCCTATTACGGAATATGACCTAATATTACTTACTAATATACTTTTTAATGTGGAATGACATATATATATTCCTGAAAGTATGACATATATTTTTGAAAGTATTCCTAAAAGTATTACAAAATGAATTATTCTATTATCGGATGATGAAATAAACACTGGTGGCGACATCTCTGTGTTTAATACAAATTTAGACCGATCCAACCTCACCTCCCAATTCAATTATTTTTCTATGGTAGTTTTTGGAAACGTAGAAAAAGTACAGTCTGAAAGTTTCAGACTGAAACACCCCAGTAAGCACCAAACACTTGGCATAGGCGGTTGACCGGCGGTTCGGCTTGCCCCAGCCATCCCGCTTAAGCGGGCCATAATTACGGCCCGCGTTATGTTACCCCGGTACCGTTTAGCCATGTTCTAACCGAAGTCGGCCAGAATACGGCATGCCGCTGCAAAATCCTTCGGCTTGCCCTAGCCGTTTACGGCTGGAAACGGCCTGCCGCGGCATAAGCGATACATCTCACGGCTGCTTACGCACGCGAGTTAACTATAAAAAGCGATTGGTTGCAATATTTAGTTGGAAGTGTGCGTCCGTAATGGCATAGCTAGCTGAACATTAGTTGTTTGGAGTCCAGATCTCCATCCTCATCTGCTCAGTAACGAATAATGTCTAGCTAGCCGAGTGTGTTAAAAAAGTATACCTCTCCAGAACGTCTGTAGGCTTTTTTTGAATGGCCAGGCGGTTGTGGCCGGCACTCGGCCAACTAGACACAGCCGACACACGGCCGAGTAAACATAGCCGACATTAGGCCAGGCGGATATGCTCGACAGTTGGCCAGGCGGACATGCTTGTTCTATACGCCGTATTCGGGCCGTATGCGGGCCGGCTAGCTTGTGCTTACTGGGAATTGCATATTCCGCTCTCGTGAAACCGTCAAACTCGCCTTCGGCTCGTGTGACAAACTTTTTACTCGAGCGGAATATGCAGTATTCCAAACTTGTTACAGTGTTACAGAATATACCATTAAAAAAATAATAAGAAGACATTTAAAAGTTTACAATTTGAAGCTTATTTTCTAATAAGCGTTAACTTAACTACTGCTACTACTTAAGTAGTATAATTCTATAAAGTGCTCTTTTAGTTCCACCCTTACATCCAAACTAAGATGTCCCATAAGCCAACTGAATGGCTTGTGCGGGTTAGGGGTAGGAACGGACCGACGGCTTAAAGTCCCCTCCGAAGGACTATACACAATGGACAAACACAAATAAACAACCATACCCAAATGCGATTCGAACCCACGACCTCTCGATATAATATATTCACTTTTATTTAAAATGGTTAATCATTTTTCCAATTAAATAAAATAATTTTTACATTTTCTATTTATTTTAAATTAAGAAAGTGGCTCAGTCTTAAACCATTGATTATACTGTGGAGAAAATTGATTTCTTTCTCCCAATGAGATGACGAGATTTTAAGTTTTACCACCGTAGTATTTACCATTGCTATGACTATACTAGAGCCCTGCATGGCCCAGCCCGGTCAACAACCCATAGAGCACAAAGTCCAGGGGCGGACCGTTGACTTTAGGGGCCCTGGGCTAAATCATTAATAATAATATTTATTCATATTTATATGTAACAAAACAAAAAAAACACTTATTCTTAATAAAATAAATAATATGAATAAAACATTCTAGCATTCATACAAGGTGTCCCGATAATACCTGTACAATGCAAGGCAACATACTTCTTGATTTAAAATAATCCGACTTAACCCAAACTACAAAAAAAATTATTTGTTTAGATGCTAGCGGCCTTTAAAGTATGTAAAAAAGATTATTTTATAATGCAGTATATTACACTGATTAACAAAAATTGACTATTTTTTTTCTATAAAATTGAGTAGCCTCATGAGCCAGTTAATAATTTGCTTATCGCGATTTTACATTTAAATTAAGTATTAAGATTTTTTTATTTAGGAATTATATAACTTTTTAATTAACTAAAATGATTAGAACTTTTATTTTAGGGAATTAAAGCCTCCACAATAAAGTTTACTTATTATTTTATGATAAATCTACTCAAAAAATTATTTCAGAATTAAGACAAATTCAGGGCAAATTTGAGGTTTTTATTACTTTCCCATTAAAACAATCATAACAAAATGTAGACAATGTTCATACATTTTTTGTAGATTATTTTATTTTATAAGAATATGTCATTATTTTTTTAATATTTTATTTACTGGTTTAACAAGTAAAAATACAAATATTTTTGTAATAAAATTAATATTTTTTTGAAATTAATTAGTATTTTAATTAGAAATATTAATTTGTAAAATTAATAATTGTAAAACTACAAGTTTTAAAAATTATAAAATTACACAATTTAAAAAAAAATAAAATGATCAAAGTTCTATAACATCTGATAGTTTTAGCTTTAAGCTTTTGAACAAGCAGATTTATTATAAAATAATAAGAGTCCTCTTTGTAGAGCGTTTACTTTAAATAATCTTTAAAACATATTATTTTTAATTAAAAATATATACAATTATATATACAATATAATTCCAAAGTTTTTTTTTCATGCTATTTAAATAAAAAACAGAAAATCGAGCCTGACAAGGTTAAGAGCTGAAATTTTAATAGGCTCAAACTTTATGCAACTATTAAATAGTCGATTTTTTATTCTGATTTATATATATTTTGTATTAATCGAGTAGGGGGCCCTTGATTGGAAGGGGCCCTGGGCTGCAGCCCATAATGCCCATGCCTAAATCCGCCCATGACAAAGTCGTCCATATGGTGTCCATAGGACATCCATCTCTGTACAAATGGATATCCATAGTATGTCCAAGAATATTATATGGACGTTCCATGTACGTACATATAACGTTACTTTGGCATTTTGGCATTGGATGTCCATGTTATGTAATAAATGTACAATGTACGTTGGAAGTGGACTTCCATATGATGTCAAAATGAGCCTAGGAACGAAAATTGTAGAAAAATGTTGGTTTACTTGTTTATTCTGAGTTATGTATACATTTGTTTATTCTAATAAAACTACAAACATATAGGATTTAGGATAAAAAAGGTTTAGACAGTGGCGGCTGGTGGTTTTTGGTATACCAATATCTCAGTTATTAGACATGAGGCCCATATAAAACATATATGAGTTTATAATGACATTAAATAGACAATTTCTGCGCAAGCATAATTTAAATTAAAGTTTGCGAAAAAATTTAGTTTTTCAGCGCGCCTCACCAGCCCTCTACACAGAGCCGGCTTAAGGCAATTGAGCGCCTTAGGCACTTCAAAATTTGGCTCCTCTAACTAGATACTATACTTACGGGGCCCGGGGCAAATTTTAAAAAAGC